AATATTTCTCAGAACTTGCTCTCCATCAAGCATAGTCTGCAACTTGCATATGAGCCAGTCTATCACAGAAATTGAAATGTTCAAGCCTCACACAGTGTTTCAAATAAATATATTTTTAATTTATTTGTACTCATAAAATGTTAGACTGTGTAGTAAGGGACTGAAAGTGCAAGAGTTTTACCAGGCCTGCTTTCAGATTCAGTTCCTCCTAATTAGCCCTTTAATTTGGACACTAAAGACACAATGTCATATAACTGTGTGATTAAGATCATGTCTATGCTGTGAGTACATATATTAGCCAACTTGGAAAAAAGGTATTGCAATACTCAAGATGACAATTGTAACTACAGGCAATAGTAAGTTTAGAATTCAAAAGAAATTGGGGCAAGCAGCATTCCAGTACTTTAAAAATACCCAAATGTTAACACTCTGATGGCTATGTACATCTGAGGGTAGGTGTCTTCACCTGATGGAGAAAGTGTCATGGCCTTTTGGAGTGAGTATTTACGAGGATATGGAATTTTACAGATTGCTAATACTAGAGATGAAGGACTGGGGAGAGGAGGCAGTAGGAATCCATAAATAACTGGATAAACTGTTAAACTGTACTAATTAGTTTTAAACTGAGATTGAAGTTGCAGTGAGACCTGTAGGTAGGTAGACCTCTTTGCCAGTTTGAAATCCGACAGAAATCAACTTGGTTTTATACCTTTCATGTAAAATTAAACTCATTTTAATAGTTCAAAGTAAACATAATCACATGGAAAACAGTAAGAACTGCCTCCTATTAGAAGTGTATTACAGTCATATGGAAAGATTTGTTGTTGTTAACTCCTTAAAGAAAAAGCATGTTCTGATGTGTGCTTTCAGGGAGAACTGAATCTGGGTTTTGATTTTCCATGAGCTCAGTAGCAGACTTTTTCTTGCAATTCCATAGCTTTTTATTTAGTATTGGTGTATTTTTAGTAAAGCTTGAGGATGTTCAGGTAACAGACAACCACTTAACACCCTACAAGTACTGCTGGTTGGATCTGTGTTCTCTGTTACACAGCCTTACTCAAGTTGCAAAAGCAGTCTGTAAGGCTGCTGTTAAACCTGTACTTAGCTAACTTCTTTGACTTGTCATCACAGCAGTTAGAGTGAGGTTCTGCCTGTAGGCAGAATTTTGGGCAAGGAGCTGGATGTGAACTTGGTCTTTCCAGGAGCTGGGTTTGTGTTTGCTTTGGCTCGCAGATAGTGTTTGAGGCAGAAGTCACAATGAAGGAAGCTAGAGGTTTTCCAGCAGTACCGTCTCTGTCCTAGCTCCCTCTATGTCCTGCTGTTCTGTAGTTGGGCTAACTGACTTGCAGTAATTCAATAATAAAAGTACAGAATAGCTTCACCGTTTAAATTTACACTTCAACTTGCTTAGTAATACACTTATTTGGCTTTTGACAAGTCTCAAATAATAGTTTATCACCACCTCACACCTCCATTTTTTTTTTTCCTCTTTTTTTCTTCTTGACCAAGGTGAATGAGCTTGAAGGGCGGGAGGTATAAATCTGCCTTTGACCTGTTCCAGCAAGGAAATCATTATCTGCAGAAGCCAAGGCTCTGTTCCCACTTTGCCCCTACCGTGAGCTGCTGGGGCAGGGAATGTGTGCTCAAACCCAAGGCTATTGTTCCCTCTTGTTCTCCACATGGGTGTAACATATAGATGGCAATATTTTCAAGTGGCTCAGACATTAAAGGCCCTAAGATAACCACAATAACATGTAATTGAAAGATTAACTGTTTAAAATGTGTAGTTAATAAGTTACAAGTTTGTTTCCTCTGAGAGTTCATTCAGTTGCATTGACAGTCTGGAGTGGGAGAGACTGTGACAGTGAAGTTCAGTTTCCTGCTCTGGAGCAGACAGGGATTTAACCTCTTCATCAATGACAGAGACAGTGGGATCGATTGCACCCTCAGCAAATGTGCAGATGACACCAAGCTGCGTGGTGCAGTTGATTCACTAAACGGAAGGGATGCCATCCAGGGGGACCGTGACAGGCTTGAGAAGTGGGCCCATGTGAATCTCATGAAATTCAATAAGGCTGAGTGCAAGGTCCTGCACATGGGTCGGGGCAATCCCAAGCACAAATACAGGCTTGACAAAGAATGGATTGAGAGCAGCCCTGCTGAGAAGGACTTGGGGGTACTGGTGGATGAAAAGCTGGACATGAGCCACCAATGTTGCGCTCACAACCCAGAAGGCCAACCGTACCCTGGGCTGCATGAAGAGAAGCGTGGCCATCAGGTCAAGGGAGGGGATTCTGCCCCTCTTCTCTGCTCTGGTGAGACCCCACCTGGAGTCCTGCATCCAGCTCTGGAGCCCCCAGCACAGGAAAGACATGGACCTGTTGGAGTGGGTCCAGAGAAGACCACAAAAAGGATCAGAGGGCTGGAGGACCTCTGCTGTGAGGAAAGGCGGAGAGAATTGAAGTGGTCAAGCCTGGAGAAGAGGAGGCTGCGGGGAGACCTTATTGTGGCCTTTCAGGGCTTAAAGGAGGCATATAAGAAAGATGGAGACTTTTTATCAAGGCCTATAGTGATAGGACAAGGGGTAATGGTTTTACACTGAAAGACTGTAGATTTAGATTAGATATAATGAAGAAATTTTTTACTGTGAGTGTGATGAGGCAATCTGGAACAGATTGCCCAGAGAAGTTATGGGTGCCTCATTCCTGGAAGCATTCAAGGGCGGGCTGGATGGAGCTCTGAGCAATTTGATCTGGTTGAAGATGTCCCTGCTCACTGCAGGGGGGTTGGGCTAGATGACCTGTAAAGGTCCCTTCCAACCCAAACCGTTCTATGGTTATGTGGTTTACCTGGCAGTAAAAAACGGTTTGTGCTTCATGTGAGGGTGATTTTTCTATTGGAGGTCTTGCAGTAATGCAGTACTTGCATGTGTAAGGGTGCATAGAAAATCAAGCGAGTTCTTGAACAGCATGGAAATTGGCAGATGTACCAAAGCACAGCTTGGATTATGCATATTGCACTTAGTGTACTTATCTATAGAAACTATTATTGAATATGTAATCATCCATGATCGTTTGTTATCCATTATTATTCTCCAAGTCCTGCTTTCATGTTAGTCTCTCATCTGAGCTTGTCAGTTCTGCAGTGACTGTACACAACATTAAAATATTTCTACATTGTTTAACTTAAGCACATAAATCAGTCATTCTTTTCTAGTGTGACTTTTTAATAGGCACACTTTTACAACTGAACTGTTCTCTTTGTAATGTGGCTAAAAAAATCTGATCAGATTCACCAGGCAGAAGTATCTACAACTAAAACAGACCAGCTGTTCATCTAGCTTAGTGGTTTGTTTCAGTAGCTGTCTGTGCCACATGCTGCAGAGGAAGATGAAAAATCAGACACAAACATTTGTTGTTTGAAGAAGTAAAAAATCTAACAATGTTCATTAAAGTTTTTTAAAGTCTTTTTATTGGAGTGAAGTCATTAAATAACTAGCTCTGTGTATCTCTAGGTCATAAGTCTTATGTTGGACCATGTGTATGTACAGTTTATTAATCTAAGAAATTAGCACTGGTTCTGTCACAAAATGAAGTTCAAAGTGATTTTTAGATAAAAAAAAAATCCCCACAATTAGGCAGTATGTTGTGAAGTCTCTGGATCTGTTGTTTTAGACAGCATCTGTTCTTTCAGAGTTTCTCAAAGCGTACAATGTATATGTATGTGGATCCTGAGACAACATTACTGTCTGTTACATGGCAAAATGAAAATAATATTGGGACCAAACTATCTTGAGTGTTTACCAGCTTCAGAATCCAAGTAGAAATGCCTGCAAGTTTAAGAACCTGGACTTCTCATTAATTTCGCTTGCAACAATTAATCATTCCATCTTAATTACGTGGTTCCAGTTGAGAACTCGGTACTAGTGATTGTCTTCAAAATTTCAATTTAATTCCTGTAATTAATTCTACAAAAAGAAGCAGTTTTGCTCAATACACTTCTCAAAATACTGGGATGCCCGGGAGACTTGTTTGTGCTTACTGCACTGCGTTTCAGCGTGGCTTATTGACTTCAGCTAAGTGTTGCGCTAAGCATGCCTGGGTAGTTTCTGGTTTGGAGCCAGTTTATGTCTGGGTGGCTTGGAGCACAGGCAGAGTGGGTTTCCCTCTGCTTACAACATTGCACATAGGTCTACCCCTAAATGCTTTGCTGTCCTTTATAAAACCTTTTTGTCTCCTACAGTTGCATGCCTTATTTTACATTTACAAATGTTCCCCTTCTGGATGAAGTCCATAACAATGTGTTTTCTATTTAAATTAAAGGCGTCTATACTAGAGTCCAAGAGAAATCCTGCT